TTGGAATTTTTCGTTTTCGCAATTTCTTTCCCGATTTCATGTGTGATGCAATTCCTCTTGATTCGTGAGACTAATGTGACATAATTAGACATAGGGAAACCGGTAATGATGGTAAATTTGGTAAAACATGGCATTTCTATGTGGTTTTCTTGATAGTGTGTGATTGATGCTTGTATTGCTAAGATTGTGTATATGGGCGGTCTTAGGCAAATGTAGTGATTCCAAAGGGAATTACGGTGAGTATGTAGCTCACGTGTAATTAATGTGGATCGTGTGTTATGTGCAAATGATATTTATATTATGCATAATTTTATGTCATGTATTTCATGTCATGTTATGTGGAGATGAGCCTAGGTGGAAATCAATGATGGGTGCCTAGTCTCATCCAGATTCTATGTAGGAGTCGAGTGGAGATAAGTTGTAGTTCAGAGGAACGTATACGACTTATCTGGATTCCGACGGGAATTAGGTTCAAAGAGTGAATCGTATGAATTATGATGGTACCACATGCATTGTGTCGTGTCAGTTCAGTTGCATTGCATATATGTATGATTGAAATGTAGGCTGAATATGCCGAGTGTTGATGTGGCACTTGTATGTGCATTATGATTGTTGATTGGTGTGAATTGTGTGAATTACTACTCCTTAGCATGTGATTTTCACCATAAATTTATTGAACGTAACTCTCACCTCTTTTTTGTTGTTGTGTTTGTGCTTCTTGAGGAATACATATAATCATGTACCTGAGTAGTGCTTGGAGCATGTGTTGCTATTGATCGAGTCTTAGGAGTCGCTCTGATACGTAACACGGGAAGGATGGGGATTTCGTTATTCTTTATATTATTTGTTATTTGTTACGTATCTTGATTTTGTTTAATGATGTTGAACCACATATTGCATGGAGTTTGATGTAATTGGAGTCGTAGTGCCGAACTATTTGAATATTCCGTTGTTTTAATTAATTGTTTTTATGAGGAAATAAGGTATGAAGTGACTTAATACTTCATGAGATTTTATGTTGATGTTGCATCCTACGTGTGTAGCTCTGATTTTTTTGCAAATTATTTTTTGCATTTTTACTTATTAAATGAATGAGGGGAGTAAGGTGTTACGTTGGACTTCACGTCTAGTGGCTGAGTCGAAATTACTTCAATTGTAGTGGTGAACTCCAACCTTATCCAACATAGCATAGTATTCAATTTCACTAAGCCGCTAAGTTTCTCACCGCCTCTTTCAACCTTGCCACCTTCGACCAATATTACGTTATGTGATCTCCAACCTTGAGTTATATTGATCCTGTGGACTTACTCTATTTGGGCCTTCCACGTGGCGTATTTATGGCTATTCCCATGAGTGCTTTCCATTTATAGTCAAGTCGAAATTTCAGTGTAATAAGTGTAAGAACAACATTTGGTTCTAAATTTGGCCATTAAGTATTGATGATAACTGCACATGTTATCTAAGAGAACAATTCTGTATGATATGGTTTCTGTCTAGTGTGTGGTTGTTGTCAATATGATTGTGACACTGATAAGAAGGTGTGTGACGTTATCAGACTCTATTATCAACACTCTAAAAGAAAAATATGTGTGTACAAGTTAAAGTCAAGATTCATGAATGTTTCTAATACAACGGTTCTAATGAACGTTAGTTATGGACATTCTAATTAAGACTTTATGAGAAAGGTCTACAAGACTTTCTAATGTGATGCGCTTCTAATATTACAAGTTCTGAAGATTCTGAAGACGTGGTTCAAGTAAACAAAGCTCTAAAGATTCTAAAGACATAATTTGTGAAGATCGAGTTTTGAAGAGTTTCTAAAGACAAGGTTCTGATTAGACGAAGTGCTGAAGACTTAGAAGACAAAGAACGTGCTCAATGAAATCTGAAGACTCTAAAGGCAAGGTTCTGAAGGAACGGGTTCTGAAGACTCTGAAGATAAGCTTCTAAAAGAACAAGTGCTGAAGATTCTCAAGATAGATTCTGCTGAACAAAGATCTTGGAATTCTGAAGACTAAGTTTCTAATGATTACACAAAGAATGACTCTTCTACAATACGCTTCATCAAGATAATATCTGAAGCCTTTGAAGATGTTAGAAGACTGAAGATCAAAGTGGTTTTAAGCTGAATATAATAGTACTAAAACTATGTATCCTCTACCTCAAAAAGGTGGCACAGGAGTAACTTTTTGTACAATGATGTTGATTCCTTCTTATAAATGTTGGAATATTGTTATTGGAATATGTTTCCTAGAATACCCCTCAACGGATCTATTCTCTCCTACTCTATAAATTGAAGACTTAGAAGCTTAAAGAAATGTGGCTCATGGCCAAGAAGCTAGTTTCTTGTCGCTCATAGCTTATTGCTGAAGCGACATTGATCACAAAGAGAGAAAGATAAAAGAGTGGGTTACTGGTTGCAAGTAATAGCATGCTGCTAAAGCAAACTGCCAAAGTGTTGAAGAAAATGCTATAAGCTGAAGCCTAAATGAAGAATTCTCATTGAAGATGAAGATGAAGCAAAATTGAAGTGCATACAACGACGTAACATGCTAAAGCCATGTGAAACTAGTCAAGTGAAACATCAATAAGTGAAGCATAGTAACTTAGTTGATCTTGATGGTTAAACTGGAATAAGTATTATTCACTCAAGAAGGAGTTAATCAAAAGAAGCTAAAAGCTCATGATAAGAAGCCTTAGTGCTCATCAAAGAAAGCTTCTAAGAAATACAGAACTAATGTTTTATAATCTCTCTGAGATTCATTCTTTAGAAAGTTTTCTGTATTAGAAAGTAAAGAGTTGTTACTCATATCTTGCTTAGAAACACTTATGTGTTTATGTACTTCATCTGTGTAATCAACTTGTAAGAAGCATACTAGTGTACAAGAAAATCCTCGAAAAAGTTATTGTTCCTTGAGTGGTCGAGTGTAGACTAGAAAGCTTGAGATGACTAAGTGTGTTTCTAACAAATTAGTGGATGTTGTTCCTTGAGCGGTCGAGTGAAAACCAGAATGCTTGAGAAGACTGAGCGTGTCTCTAACACCATAGTGGATGATTCCTTGAAAGGCGAATGAATTCCAGGATTCTTAAGAGGGCAATGAAGGGTTTATATTGTGGTTGTAATCATTGATGATTATTGGATTAAGTCCTTGTGATAAGACGAAATCACCTCGAGGGGTGGACTGGAGTAACTTCGTTAACAGTGAACCGGGATAAAATAATCGTGTTCATTTATTTTATTTACTTGTTGATGCAATTGATTTAATTTCCATAAATGGGGACAAAATATGAAACCCAATTCAAACCCCCTTTCTTGTGTTTCTCAACCTTCAACAAGAGGCAGTAGTAACAACTCAACAGGACCTCCCCCAAATGCTTTAGCTTGCTCTGGTTCATCATCCTCAACAACCTCATCATGTGGAGGTGGCACTGGCTCAACAACATCTTTCATCGGAGGTGGCACTATGCCTCAAGTACCAGCGGTGACTCAGCTACCTCTAGCGAATGAATAGGTGAAACCTGTCGCCTGCCGGAGGATGGAGAGAGCGATGTGTCGGTAGGTGAAACTCGTCTTATACGGAAAGAAAAGGATGGAGAAGCATGAGCCCCAGAAGTAGATGCCTCCGCATGGCTAGAGTGAACATGAGCTTCTAAAACCTGAACCTTTTCCTTCCGCACTGACGCATGTTGTGCAATTCTCCCGTGCCTCAGTCTATCGTGTCTATCAGTCATAATGTTTGTAAGTAAACCAGACAAGCAATACAACAAGCAAGAAAAAAATAGACTGAGAGTTTTCAAAGACGCATCTCCGATTACTGAGAAACTAAACATTGAAAATTTTCGGAGATGCATCTCCGAATTTTCTACAACTCTTCAGGTCCTTCAATGGCATCAATGTAGACATGCAAACCCAAAAAATCATGGTTTGATCGTGATTGTCAACAAACAAACATGTTTTACCGTATGTATAAAACCATTCTTGTAATTCATACTCATTTCTTACCCAAATCATCATTTTATTCTCATTTACACAAAACCAAAAAACTTATCAAAACATCAAAAAGTTACAAATTTAGACCTTGTTTCAATGTTGCATGATGTCCGTGATGTTGATTGAAGAACCTTTGAGCTTGATGGAAAAAAAATTGAGAGTTTGAGAAAGTTGGGTTTTTTTAAAAATGAATAAGAATAAGAGTTCTGGCGCGATTAAGCTTCAATACAGTCCAAAAATGTATCTTTCAAATAAGTTTGAAGATGTATCTCTGAAGTATTTTAACCTTAAATTAGAATTCTATGTACTCATGAAGCGTCCAGAGATGCTTCTTCAAAATCTAAATACATCTTAGTATTTTCAGATAATGCCTAAATAATACATAAAATACATTAAAAAAATTCGCATACTTTCTGATACTCTTGAATTTGATTGGATACCGAAACTCTTATCCAATCAAATAATGATATTCAATATCACATTATATTTTATAAATTAAAAATTTAAATCAATTTACACAAAAACACAGTCCAAAAATATATCTAAAATATTTCTAGTTTTTTTTAGCTTGAGTTTCTCCTTGAATTGTGACCTCTCTTGAAGAAAAAAAAAAGTGGAAGTGTTATTTAGAGTGGAAAAAATAAGAGACAACACAAAAAGCACGTGACCGTCCATAAAAAAGAAGAGCTTATCCAGTTGTCAACGTGTTATATAGTACTAGTACCTTAAAATAATGTGCTGTCTCATTGCTTAAGAGAGAAGAAGAAAACCAAATTTCAAGACTTTAGCCACTGTGGTGGCGTCTTAGTCAGAACGCAACAAAAAGAAACCAAACCAAACTCAGGTACGTTGAACTTTTATAGCATCTCACACTTGATATACTCATATTCACACCACCTTTCTTCTTCTCTTTCTCTTTGAAAAAACACACACTTCATCCGAATCATTATACATAATGTTTATTTCTTGTTCCCTTTGCTTTGTTTAGAGTTGAGAATCAATTCAAGATATGGGAAGTGTGGGTATGAATCCATTATTTAGAAGTGAATCTTTTGGATACTATAACTACTTCCCTGACCAGAACTACACCATGATGGAGAAGAGACAGTTGTTCCTAAGAAGCTACCAGTTCTGTAGAAAGAAGAGTCTGACAGAGAGAATCAAAGGGTCTTTAATCCGTGCTAAGAAAGTTGTTTGGCTAAAGTTAAGGCATGCTCGTGGATTAAGAAAGTTGGTGTTTTTTCCCAGGTTTAAGTGCGGTTTCTATTACCGTAGAAGAAGGTTCTTTTCACAGCTTTTAAACACTAGTAACAGTTATAGCCACAAGCGCAAAACTGATTCTTCAACGTGTCTTTGGTAGTGAAAGATCTATGTAGTTCATTCGGATTTAGATTTTAGAACATGTATGTATTTTATTTTGTTCATCATTCTCTATATTGTTTAATTGTTTGGTTGATAGGGTTGTTTGTCATATCTTTAACTGCTCCTTCTTTCTTGGCTTTTCTAATGGCGTGGCAGATATTGAAATATAAAATGGATTCAGAAATTGTTCATATATGGTTGTTGGATTTCAGCTCTAATTAGGTCTTTCAATTTATTAATATATATGTAATTGTTAGAATTTTATATTGACAAAACTCATCATTCAACTTGATTCATATTGTCCCTTACAACTGCGATCACTTCAGATTAGACGGTCAAATGGATCGAAGAAAATTAAAAAAAAATTATTCTGTTTTCTTTAATTACAAAATTTTATCATGGAGAAACTTTGTATCAAGGCTGGCATTGGGAAAAAACAAAATTTGGTCATTTGAGAAGCGGTTTTTCATGCGTATTATTAGAGTTAGGAACTTGAGAATCCCAACGTAATACAACACACTCCAAACATAATATCCCGGCAAAGCTGCAACAGTTAAGGACTTTGATGTAGGGCACCCTTAATTTGGTGTTGTTAAAATAGTTTTAATAGATTAGTTACGCCAGCTAAGTTGATAGATATGTTTGATTTTATGATTGCGAACTTTAATCTGCAACATTCTACTTAAATGAACTTCAGATCATTAGATTAGAAAAAAAGATAGCATAGAAAATGTAACTGCAAATTGCTGGCTCAGAGCACAAAAAGTCTAAGTATATCAAAATTACAGCTGTGTTTGTGTGTGTGGCATGCGCTTTTACCATAAAAATTGGGTTGGAAGAACCATAACTGTTTCTGTTACTTTAACTTATGATTGCCATTATTATCAATAAATACTAATATTATTGTTTCTGCTTTAAGTTGTTTCTGATTCTCCACCACCATGTGATCCGATCGACTTTTATTTAAGTGATAGTGATTCGATTTTAACTTTAATTCACGGGCAAGTGGGTGGTCGTAGTTGCTGTCTGGTGGTTGCTTCTGTTACTATCTGACCATAAAATATTTATGACACTTTTTATTACTCTACTAGTACCCTCTAAGAACTCAATTACTATAGATGTGTTTATTTTTGCTGTCTAAGGTGATACTCTTTCACTACAGGGTAGAAAATATCTGTTTATATTAACAAAATAGTCTCGTTAATGTTTTAATTTTTTTTTTTTATGGCTGATACTATTAAAAGCTTCGATAACAGTGGAGTAGTAAAATTACTTTTTTGATGCTTACAAAACTATGAGAAATAGAATGGAAATAAATTATGGAATTTAAGTTGATGGATTGAAATATAATAGATTAGGGATGACAATTTGACTCATTTCTAGTGGGTATTTACAAAATTATCCATATTAGGTAGAGTAAAAATTTGCAAAACTAAACACGGGCACAGACTTGGATAATTACCCTCTTAAGTAAGCGGGAATGAATGTGGATATGGGCACCTTAGTGCCCACCCCACCCCATACCATACCCGCACAATTTATATTTATATATTTTAATTTATATTATTATATAAAAAATAAATGTTGATAAAATTAAAAAAAAAACATCAATCTCAAATTACTACTTATTTAATATAAGTGATCATTTATTTTATGATTCAACAAAAAAAAAATTTAAAAACTTTTTAATGTTTTTAAAAACTTAAAATATTATGATATTTTATACTTGATATATTTATTTTTATTATAAATGTGAGTAACGAGTACGGATACAGACACTTATATCAATGTAGTTCTAGAAAGAACATTATGACGAAAGTTTATCAATGTAGTTGTCTACTTAATCGAATAAAACTCGATTGTTGTTATTGTAGTATTAACTTAATAATCATAATTTCATATGTCAAAAGTGAAAAATGTGTTCGAACCAAAATTTAACCCCTATAATCAAATATCTCATACCCATATATAAAATGCATCAATTTAGCTCTTCTAACCAAATGGTTGTGGAGGGCTATATCAAAATCAAAACTGATTCAGATGGATGTGTTAACCTTTAGGTATGGAGATGTAAAGTAAGAGTTTCTCAATATTTCAGGACAATAGTTGGAAAGAAGGATTCGTTATGATGGAGAGATATTATATCTTAAGTTGCAAATCCTCAATCAGAAGATAATTGGTCCTCAAGGTCAATCAGTTGTAAAGTTGGTGATAAAAAGGTGACTATGTTCTGGAAATCAAATTGGAATGGTCACGACCCTTTATCGGTTCAATTTTCTACTGGTTGTGTTTCTTCTTTGAATCAAAACGTAACCATGGCGGAGATGGGTTTTTGGAGCTATGGAAACTAGGAGTGGAATTTGGATGTCGACCAAGCAATGCTGGATGGAGAAGGAGCAGACCAAATGTCAATTCTCTTGCAAACTCTGATGTAAGTTTGTCTCATTGTTGACATGGAATGCCATTTCCTTTGGTGGAGAGATAGGCTTGGCTTCATAGTTAAAAGCAGCTATGAAGTGCTTTGTGATCAAATTGATCAGCAAGAAGATTCTAATCAGCTGTATGAGTCGACTTTAAATATGTTAGCTCAGGTGTGGAGAACCAAGATTCCTAGAAATGTACTTTTTTGTTAGAGGTTAATTATAAATCGCTTACCGGCTAGAGCACAAATGGCTAGAAGAGGAATTCTAAATGCGATCCATAATACCGTTTTCCCATTCTACTTCGATGCTCTTAAAAATAACTTTCACATGTTTGTGGGATGTTCAGTTAGTAATATAGTTTAGTGTAGGTTATGTTCCTGGTTAAACATTTATGAAGTCAAAGGTTGCACAACAGTAGGGGATCACTTTGATACTTTTTCGAATAAAATTAAAGGAAAATTTAACTACAATTTTTTCCTATTTTTTTGGGCAGCAGCTTATTGGTTATTGTGGAAATGCAGGAGTGATATTATTTTTTAGAGAGGTTTGTTGACCAAGTGGAATATTTTGGGGAGAATCAAGAAATTAACTTGGACTTTGTACCATGTTAAGTTTATAAGCCTTATTGTTCCGACGTGGGAGGATGGGAAGGCGACTCTGATTAGATGTTTATCTTGCAAATATTTGTAATTGTTGTTTTAAGTTTTTCCTTCGTAAACTATTGATGACAATTCTATCACGTGTACTAGTCTCGTCGAAGTAATAAATTAAGTTCGTCTCCACATGGATTGCAAATTTTAACAAGGTAATGATAATGTGAATTAAAGTAAACAACATCCTCATTAATTCAAAAGCATAATGCATGTAACAATTATAATGAGTTTAGATGAAGATTGTGTGAAATTCAAGGAATGTAAATATCTTAAATGGCTTCAAAAACCCTCAAAATCCTTGCTTTAGAACTACAAGCCGTCACTTTCTCTATCAAATTCAGAACCCTAAAGAGTAGTAAAAAAACCTTATTTATAGCAATTTTTAGGCGTCACAGTAGCCTAGAGTCGCGCCTGTGTTGGTGACTATCGTCACCGTGATGTGACATCATCATTCCCATAATATCAGCATCATGGCAACGTGAAAACTAGTGGCAAAATCCTCTATTTTCTTCCTTTTTCTTCAATTTTTCACTAAATTTCAACTTTATTCCTATTAGTAGTTTTTGCCCACTTCTTCACACTTTTGCATGACTTTTATCATTATTCCAACGATTTGATCTGATTGCTCGTAAATATTACATAATGACCGAGTGTAATCATAACCCTAAACTTACTTTGTTGTTTGTCCTCAAGTAACCTGTCTGCACATTGAATATTTCATCAGTATTAAAATGCTTACCCTTATCAATGAACGTTGCCATTTTTATTTTTGTCGATCAACACTTATGTTCCATACTTCAATCCAAGTAACTCAAAAAAGTTCTTCCAAACATACAAGTACTAAACGTTTCTCCATTCTCACAAATATTTGTTAGAACAAGATTTGATTCTGCCAGATATCTCTAAGTTTTGATAATAACAAAGTAGTATTTGTGGTAGAATAATTTTGGTACTCTAATGTTTGTTTTTCTGAAGAAATAACAAACAGGTTCTGACTCTGATAGAGAAAGCCCTGACTCTGATAGAGACCATGTGTAACGTCACTCTGATCTGACCAAAGTCGCTTATGCGCTATAAGAAGCAAGTCTGCTTCTGATCTACTCACATTCAGAAAGATTTTGATAAGACAATATGTTGTTGCTGCAATGTTCTCTTGGTTTCTACCTCTGAGCATGACTCTGATGTTTTACTTCTGAAGGCTTTCAAGCTTCTGAAGTCATTATCTTCCGAAGACTAAGTTCCGAAGACTCTGAAGATAAGGTTCTGCTGAACAAAGTTCTGAAGACTTTGAAGACTTGAGTTTCTGAAGATTAAGTGCTGGAGACTCTGAAGACAAAGTTATGCTGAAAGACATTCTGAAGACTCTGAAGACTTAAGTTACTAAAGACCAAGGGTTCTGAAGACTGAGTGCTTAAAGTTCTGAAGATAAGATTCTGGTGAACAAGTTTTGAAGACTATGAAGACTCAAGACTCTGAAGACCCGATGATCAACTCTTCTACTCATGCATCAATCATTTATATTCAGAAGCCTCTGATGTACATAAGATAAGCTCAAACATTCACGAGGGAAAATAATACATAGTACATTTCAACGTTCCATTCCACTACCCTGATTTGGTGGTACAAAGGACAATTTTTGTGTACGGTTTTCATCCCTGCGTAACGACATTATTTAAAGTCGTCAACTATCTAAAAGGATATTCTTGATCTGCTCTCCAACGTATCTTTTTCTAGCTATATAAGAACTTGATGACTTGAAGAGAAATAGAGCATGATAAAATAATTGATATAATGATAGTAAAAAGATTATCAAAGAAGAGTGAATGATCTATGAAGAACTGAAGTAACAATATTGAAGCACCACAATAAAAAGAAAGAACATTATTCATACTGTGAAATTTTCTTCAACTCATTAGAGCTAT